TCTGTAGGACTGTAGGCTATAGGAGAGCAGAGAAAGAAAGAAAGAGAGAGAGACGGAGGGAGGGAGGGAGGGGGAAGGAAGGAAGGAAGGAAGGAAGGAAGGAAGGAAGGAAGGAAGGAAGGAAGGGAGGGAGGAATCTGTAGGACTGTAGGCTACAGGAAAACAGAGGCCACATAAATCACAGACTCATGTATCTCCCAAAACTCCTACAATGCTTTTCACACCGTAGATATAGAATAAATATTTATTGGATAGTAAATGAATAAATGAAACAAAATGAATTCTGAGAATTCTGAAACATCTTCTTATATAGTCCAGAATAGATATAAAAAACATATTGAAAAAAGAAACTATCTAGACTGTTAATGGCTTGCCCCAGGTCTCATGGCCAAAAGAGCCACCAGTCAAATCCAAGAGAAGACCCCATGTCCAGTGCTCATTCTAGCATACATCTTTTCCTTTCCAGCTCTATAAAATTCTGAATCTTGTTCTTTTATAACTTATTTTGAGTTTTTGTAAATTCTTAATAAGCCACAGACATATATCAGCTCCTACTCTTAGAGAATCAGTTTGAGAATGAAATCCAGTATTCTATATGTATTATAATTAACAGATAGCTTTATATTAGGCTGAGAACATAAAAGAAAAACCCTACAGCTGCTGAGAAAAAAAGGGAAAATCAAGGTCTAGCTAGTGTCAGACATGAGTTACTCCAAACCCAAGAAATGGATGCATTCAGTATGAGGAACCTCAGAAGCCAGCTTTCACAGCACCAGGAAACCTCTTGCCCAGATTTCAACAGAGTTCAGGGAACACAGATTGAATCCTCCCAGGGATCCCAGCAAATATCTCAGTCACTAGCAAAACTCATGAGGGCTTTTTTTAGACCACTTCACAGGAGCAGAGGAGCACCAGTTCTGCTTTAATTGTGGACTTTCAGCTTGGCTTTCTTACAAATATTTTCTTGGAAGTCATTCCCTTTTTACAGATAGGAAAAGGACAAGAGTCAATAACTGCCTGGCTGCTCTATGGTGGATTTCCACACGTGACCCAGATGACAGCAAATATTCTTTCTTTAAATGGGATGCATGGGAAATTTTCAAAGAAATTTTTGGACAACTTCCCAGAAGACAGATTAACTGAAGATGTCAGGCATCCTGCTGCAGGAATTGGGTGTTTTTCCTAGAAGAAAGGTCTGGAAGGTCACCTTCACAGCACTTGTTTGATAAGGAAGGGGCATAGTATAGTTCAGGCAGAGTGGGCAGTCAGCATAGTGGGTAGTGATCAATTCTGTGTGAATTGATCCCCAATCATAGTCTCGGTTTGAAATAGTCACAACTGGTTACCCTGTGTTCTTGCAGTCTGTGTTCTTATTCAGCCAGTCTCGCACAACTGCAGTTTGAATTTCTAGATCAAGCTATCTTAATCTGAACACACGGGCAATATCCAACTCACCCCATCTTCAGAATTCTCACCACTGAGCTCATTCTCCAGGGTCATTCTCAGAATTTGTCCCAGGCCCAAAGAAAACTCATTTTAAATCTCTGCAACATGTCAGAAAAACATGACCAACTGTCAGAAAAACATGACAAACTATTTAACAAAAAATAAATAACTAAACATTCCTCATCAACAACAACGTGCTCAATCATACACAGCTGAACCATTGGGATTCTGGCAAACTTCCTGAGAATGCAATTTTTTTTTTTTTTCCTTGAGACAGAGTCTCACTCTGTTGCCCAGGCTGGACTGTGGTGGTGCAATCTCCACTCACTGCAAGCTCCAGCTCCCGGGTTCACGACATTCTTTCGCCTCAATCTCCCAAGTAGCTGGGACTACAGGTGCCCGCTACCATGCCCGGCTAATTTTTTGTATATTTTTTAGTAGAGACGGGATTTCACCGTGTTAGTCAAGATGGTCTCGGTCTCCGGACCTCGTGATCCGCCCCGCTTGGCCCCGCAAAGTGCTGGGATTACAGGCATGAGCCACCGCGCCCAGCCGAGAATGCAAAATTATGGGTGGCCTTGATTCATAGACTTCGGTTCTTTTCTTCTGATCTGACACTTCATTAGAACAAACTTGATCCATGATGCTGAGACTAAATTTAAACACCATGGCCGGGCATGGTGGCTCACGTCTATAATCCCAGCACTTTGGGAGGCCGAGGCAGGTGGATTGCTTGGGCTTAGGAGTTCGAGCCCCCCTGGCCAACATGGCGAAACCCTGTCTCTACCAAAAATACAAAAATTAGCCAAGTGTGGTGGCAAGTGCCTGTGATCCCAGCTACTCGAGAGGCTGAGGTGGGAGGATCACTGGAGCCCAGGAAGTTGAGGCTGCAGTGAGCCATGATTGTGCCACTACACACTAGCCTGGGTGACAGAGCAAGACTCCATCTCAAAAAAAAGAAAAAGAAAAAGAAAAAAAGTTAAAATATAAAATGTATGTAATTAAACATTTTAATTGAGAACCCTGAAGGTAAACTTCCTCAGACCTCTGTTCAATGCGATTCTCCCTCAGTCCTGCACCAACCTCAACTCCCCTGTAGGAGGCTGTGTTCTCTCTGGTTATGCCTTCCCCACCAGAGTACAATATCTTTAAGAAGAAGAATTACTATATTTATCTTGGTGTTCTCCCTCACCTCTGTCAGGTCCTCAGTGCTTTTTTTATGTGTTGTAGGCATTCAATGTTTAATTAATAGATATAAATTCAATGTTTAATAAACTTATTTCTTTAAAGAAATAGATTTTCATTCTCATAAAGTATTTTTCAAATACTAAATCAAAAAAAAAACTTTAGTGTTAGATAAGATTGTCTTTCCTTTATCATAAAATTTTTCTCAAGACTCAGAAAAAACCAAACTCTTATCAAGGTGGCCACATGGAGCATAGCTTAATGTTGATGACACTGAGAGATTTTCTTTAAATTTTGGTTGTTTTTCAGGGAATCAGCCCAGGAGACACCTGCCAAACCCAGGAGTTAGGTGGTTATTTCATGTGGGTCATGGAATTCAACCACCAGAAGACCAAATTGTAGGGATTGTTTCATTTTCTATTATTTGTGACTTTGCTTATGTCACTGGATAGAGGAACTGGCCACACTTACTGTTCATTCTCATCCCCTTTATCACCTGAGTGTAAAGACCCTACCTTGAGGTATTCTTCAGATGTTGTAGAGACAGAATATTTTCATATTGGCTTCTTCACCAGATTCTCAGCTTGCCAGAAAGAGCCAGGAGGCTGGATTGGTTATTTTAAGACAAAGTTTAGGGCCAATAAGACAAAGGTAAAGGGTGTAGTCCTTTTAAATCCTGCTCCTGTTTCAAAAGTTTAAGTTCCCTTCTCTCCATAACGCATTTTCTGACTACTTACACCCATGTTGTTCAATCTTCATTTCCTTTGAGAAGAAGATGCCCTTGTTTTCTGTGTTCATCTAAGTTGTGGGCTGCTGGGGTCAGGGACCAAGTTTTATGCTTCTTTGGTATCACCCATGATGTCTAGCACACGGCTGGGCACATAATAAGTGCTGTGAGACAAAAATGGAATCTCTGGACCCCAAACTCACTATGTCAAAGGAAAAGTTAAGCTTTTCCTTTGAAACTGAGTCACTTAAAAAACTGCCTTCTTTTGTTATCAGGCAGCTGCAACAATAAAAGGCCACATATCTCCCCAGATAGTCTCCTTCACAAATTGCTTACAGAGAAATTCCTTGTAGGTCCCTAAATCTTTCAGAATGCATATCTCTCCTATAAATGAGCCCTAAAACAGAGTGAATCTCATTATGACAATAAGATAACAGCTCATCTTCACAGGTATGGTATAAGGACAAGACTAGAAATCATCCCTCTGCCCACCTCAAGACAAATTCATAATTGACTTTCCCCCTATTTTCACGTTTATCTTATGTAAAATGTAGATTTACTGAGCATGAGGGGAACACATAATCACCATTCCTCTACCCACTCCTCACATGCAAAATGTGAATTCACTGGGCACTAATCAAAGCCTCACAAGATTGTAACTTCTTCCCTCATTGCCTACCCTCCCACTTCCCTTTTTTGTTTTTTTTTTTTTTCTTTTCTTTTCTCCTTCCCCTCCTGCTGGCTCTTTCCCCTTTAAATACTGAAGTCCTCAAAACTCTTTTTGTAAAAGGCAGAGATCACAGACGTTCCTGTATTTGTGCTTTTTCCTGGTAAATGTCCTTAACCTTGGCAAAATAAACCTCTAAAACGATTGAGACCCGCCTGTCATTTTTTTTGGTGCTTAATATCACTATTTTAGACTTGGGTAAATCCGGCTGTGGAAGTACTGACAGAGTTTTTTAGAATTTTCTTCTACCAAAAATAATTAATCAGAAAGTCCCTGAGAGAATTTCAGATATTTCTGTAAGGATCAAACCTAAATTTAAATACACTCATAGATCTGTTCATAATCCCAGTGTCTCACACATATAAACTCAATAAAAATTTACTGAATGACCAAGTGAAGAAATGTTCTTTCAGCTTTTCCTTCGAGACTCAGAAAAAAGATATCTGCAATTCCAGAATGGACTGAGTGAACAAGAACAGATCAGTGACACAAAGCCAGCCTTCTTTTTCCCTTTCAGGGTGACTCAAATTGTAGTCCTAATCTGAACAGTGTGAGACACAATTCCGTCTCATATAACTCAATAGCGCATTTGCTATACTCCCATTTACACAAACTGCTCAGATGCCCCAAATGCTGAGTCTGTTCGCCTTCATTCTATTCCTTTGGGAGATGCCGGTACAAACTTGTTTTTCCTTTCTTTTTTAAATGGAGATGTGATCACCATAGCAACTAAAAGATATAAATCTTGCCTAATTGAATTAGTGTGCTCAAGATAATAGGGCACAAACTGAGTTAAAACTGGGATGAGGGCAAGAGTGGGGAAATGGATGAAGATGAAAAAAATATTTACGTCCCTAGAATTTCTGGGTTTGGATTAATTGTTTCATAAGGAATATTTTTGGCCTTCAAATGCAGGGCCACTTGGAAGAGAAGCAGGTGGGGCAGTAGTTGAGGTGTCTCTGCAGTTGATTCGCAGTGAAAGGCAGGTTATGAGTATAGGGACAGCCCTTCAGCCATATGGTCCCCTCCCTACCCTGAGGATAAGGACATTTGAGAGAAGCCAATGGTATTGGAGGGCCAGAATCGAACTTAAGCCGCTTAGTTGGTACAACTGTAAACCCTCCCTCACAGGGGCTGGGCCCTGAAACCTTTCTAAGCAGGGTAAAGAAAGGTAAAGGGACTTCCTTGTCGAAGAGGAGGTTCCCGCGTTCCACCCTAGCTTTCCCTCAGGGTTCAACACGCGTTATATAAATGCCAAGTTACTCAGGGGCGCACACGTGAGAGGGCTGGGGCCCGACACACGCGGTGTACTGCCGGTCACCGGTGTGGCGCGCTGGGGGGACACACCAAAGCCCCTGTCCCTCCCGCCTCTGGAACGCAGTCCCCGCTCTTTCCAGCTGCTCCGCGGGGCGTGTGGCTGTGCGCTGCCTCCTGCGGATCCGAGGCTGGGCGAGGGGGCCGCGGTGGCCACATGGCGCGCTCGGGGAGATAGCAGCTGCGCTTTGTTTCCAGCAGTGAGAGGTGAGTCACCGGCTCCCGCAGCCCCAGAGCTGGGCAAACACTCAGGCCCAGGCAGCTGAAAAATTCACAGCAGGAGCAGCTACCCAAGCGGCTGCAGCCTTTTCCTCCTCTTCCTCCTCCTCCTCCGCCACTGCTACCGCCACCGCCGTGGTCGCCGCCTCCGCGCCCTGCCTCCGCCCAGTCCCCTCCTCCTCCACCCGCGAACTTAGTCAGCGGTTCGCGCCGCCGCGCGCCCATTGGCCGGCGGAACGCGCCGCGTCACAATGGAGCCGGTCGGAGGCGGTGAGCTGGGCAGCGCCGGGGCTTCCCGCTGAGCCCGCAGCCGCCGGCAGCCGGGAAAGTGCAGGCGCGGGGCGGCCGCCTGCGCGCCTGGAGCGGCCCGGGAGCACGCCGAGAGGAGCGCGGGCGCCCGGGGCGGGAGTCGCGCAGGTAGGTCGGAGCGTGACACCCGGGTTCCAGGAGGGGGAGTCGCGCCGACCGAGGTTGGAAGGAGGAACACCGGGTACGGGGACGCAGCAGGTGGGGCTGGCCGAGCAGGTGCGGTTACCTGTCCACGCCTCACCTGCGAGCCAGGCTGCGGGTCGGTGGCGCGGCTGCAGAGACGAGTGGCGGCTTCGTTCTGCTCCCTGCCTTCGGGAGAGACAGAGCCCCACACTCAGAGGACCTCTCCTGTGTGCTGGGGTCATTTGGGGCAAGAGGAGTGGGCGGTCGCGCGGAGGCGGTTCCCTCTGTCTCCCCCGGGAGTCTTGGCGTTGCACCTGAGCGTGAGTCCTCGGGGCGGGGCGGGAAGGGGGTTCCGCTTTCCCAGGCTGGCGTCTCGCTCCAGGTGAGCGCAACTCCCCTGAGGGTGCCCCCATTAGGTTGCTCTCTTTTGCCCCCTGCACTGGCGCTGTTTATTGGGAACTATTTTACGCTCTTGGATACTCGTTGTTTGCCTATAATTTGGTGGCGGTGTTGGCTGTTGATTTGTTTGAGAAAGAAGGAGCAAGCGATACCAATTTAAAAAGAAGACTCAAGAGTTTCCCCTGAGCTTAGTTGAGCAGGTGCTGAGAGGTCAGAAGGGTGGAGGCTCAGTATTGGCTCATTAATCTGTGTCCTCAACTGACTTCCTAACGTCCATAGATTGCCTTTAGATGACATTTGTGGAAGACTTTTTTTTTTCTTTGTGGTCAAAAAGACACCCGTCTAAAAGAACAAAACCGACATGTGAACTTCCTTGAATAAATTCACTTCGCCTAAAGACAAAACAAACAAAACATCCCACTGATAAAAGATATAAGTATGAACATTTTAAATTGTAAATATATAGCCAAATTAAAACAATTTGTTCAGCGTATATTAAGACTTTAAATAGCATGATTTTTATTAAAAGACTTAACCCATTTGCAAATGATATAATAGTCTTTCCAGAACACCCCAGAAGTCTAAAAACAGATGTATCTTGATCAGATGATTCTGTCCCCTAAACCTAGGTGTAGGAGTGAGGATGGAAAAGAAGTCAAACTGCAGTATAATTTTTTAAACCATTCCAGTACCCTCTATGTGTACAGGCTACACCTCCTGAGAACCCCAAATGCTCTTTGTTTTTCTGTTTGTTTGTGTTGTTTTGAGACAGAGTCTCAGTCTGTTGCCCAGGCTGGAGTGCAGTAGTGCAATCTCCGCTCACTGCAACCTCCACCTCCTGGGTTCAAGTGATTCTCCTGCCTCAGCAGGCGCCTGCCACCACGCCCGGCTAATTTTTATATTTTTAGTAGAGGCAGGGTCTCACCATGTTGACCAGGCTCATCTCGAACTCCTGATCTCAAATGATCCACCCACCTTGGCCTCCCAGAGTGCTGGGATTACAGGTGTGAACCCAAATGCTCTTTGAATTGTGGGTGCCCGGGCGACTTTCTTTTTCTCCTGGCTTTCCTTGTCAGCAGCTCTACTCAGAGAATATAAAGTGACAGCCAACCCTCCAAGGTAATTGGGCCTGTGTAATTTTAGAATATAAGCCCTAACATGTCTGATACTTCTGTAAGCTAAAAAGAGGTCCCTTCATTCTGGTAGAGAATGGGAGTGATGATGTCATTGAGTGCACCCTTGGGTCATGGCACTTTCCTTAGCCTTAGTATCCCCCAAAACATTTTTAAATCTGCTTGTAGGAATTAAGTTTACCATTCTTTGAAATGTGTTCTCTTTTTCTTCAGTTGGTAAGGTGTTCCAACATGTTCAGCCTATTATGAATCTCTTCACATTCTGAATGATTTGACTAGTTGAGATTTGCTTTTTTAAATCTCTTCTCTACCGCTGTCACAGTTTCCCTTTGCTATTTTAATTTTCAGAATCCTCAGAATGAAAACACCAACAGTAATTAAAATGAAAAGGGGCTTAATAAAACTTAAAGGATACTAAGCCCTCCAAGTATTTTAGGCTAATCTATGTGAGCATTTTCCTGCAGTGGCCTGAAATTTGTTATTTTTTGTTGTTTTCTGAAGTTTAAGGGGGAAAATATTTTAAAATTTAGAACATCCTTGCTTTAGCCAAACTTTTTCTTATAAACAAGGGTTTTTGTTTTTGTATTTTAGTTTTCAAATTCTTCTGATGATACCTGAGTATTTTATGTTTTCTGAATTTTTTACTATTCATAGCCTGTTTAATCCAATCCCTGATTTTCATTTGGTGTGTCTCTAAAGTTGAATTCTCAAATTTTACTCTTATTTCTCCTTCCCAGCATCCTTCTACCACACACTGATATTTTTAGAAATGAATGCATTCTGATTCTGTCATGTTCTTACACACTTGGTGGAATGATTTGCATTGCCTTGCATGTAGCAGATTCCCTACTGCTATCCTGACTCCCAGAGCACTGGGTACATCAGCAAACAGTTCAGACCTGTGACCGTTCAAGAGGAATTTGGGAGACCCAGTTATAGTGTAGAATTTATTTAACCATTTGTAAAATGCCTTCTAATTTGTGTCATATTGTTTTCATATTGCTGCCTTTTATTGCTATTGCCTACTTTCATTTTCTTCCCCATCTGTATTTTCTAAACTTCCTACATGCCTTTATTATGACTTAATTTCTCTGGTGTTTAAACTAATGCCTTTGGCAGACATAATAACCTATTTTTCTTTTTCTGATCATTAAGATTGATCTTAAATAAAATTAGGCCTAGCTCCAATCATTGATCTCTCTCCTGAGTTCTTATCACTGTGGTTCATTTAGAAACTGAACAAAGGGTAACAATAAACTCCCTGTTCTATGACTGCCTTTCCTTTAGGATTCTACTGAATTGCAACACAATTTACATTTACTCCTTCAATGCTGCCAAGAACCTGAGTAAAGGAAATTAATAAAAATGAGTTGGCAGGGCTTCAACCTTGACCTTTCCCTTTGGCCTTTTTGACCTTTTTGCTGTTTTTGATATGGGTCATGTGATTCTGCTTGTTTCTTTCTAGACTGTATATATTTAAACTTCATCTCTTGCTTTTTTTAAATTTCAGAGTCCCTTTAAATTCTTTCTTCTCATCTGTCATCCTGTGACCATTTCCAGGGCTCCGTTCTGCAATGCCTGTTCTTCGACTGACAAGCACAGCATCTTTCACAGACACTGCCAGCTGCACAGCTTCTATTTCTCTTCTGTTTCCAGCTCCATGCAGATGACTGAGATCTTCCTCTGCTCATCTCTGATGGAGACCACATTCTTTATTGTTGAGTAGCATATTCCTTTTGATTCTTTCTCAGGTAGCAGATATAAGAGCATATTTGAACCTTCCTTATTCTGTCAGATTCCTTTTCAGCATTTTGAAACTTTTTTTTTTTCCCAAAATCTCTTGCAAATTACAAGCAAGAGTTCTTCAAGGTTTTACCTAAGAGAACAAACTTTGCAGACTGACAGGCCTGATTCTGAATTCTGTGCCGTCACTTTGGATGAGTTGTGGATTAGTTAAAATTAGTTGCCAGCTACAGAGACTGCAAAGAACAATGGCTTAGTCAAAATGATGCTTGTTTCTCTTTCACATTAAAAAAACTTGCAGAGAGGCAATCTATGGCTGGTATGATGGTTCTACAGTCTTCTGAGAACTAGGCTGATTCTACCTTTTGGATCATCTACCATAAATAAGATGAGGTCCTCAGCTTCATGATCCCAAGATGGAGCTTCAGCCATCACCCCCAAGTTCCAAGTAGCAGAAAGGAGGAAAGAAGGAAAAAAGAAGGAGGGGAAATGCAAGAGCCCATGGTCTCTGAAGGAAAATTCCTGGATGCTGTCATATACTTCTTGTTATATGTCATTGCGTAGAACTTAGTAACATGACCTCGGGTAGCTGGAATAGAGACTCGGAAATACTATCCTTGTTCCAGACAGTCTTATTCCTAGCTAAATTAAAAAAAAAAAAGAGAGGCTCAGATCCTTAGCAAAAAGTGGGGAATTTTGGAGATATCCAAACACCATAGCTATGCTAACCCTCTTTTTTCTTGACTAATACTGTCTTTCTCACAGGAGTCTTAGGATTAAAATAAATGTTATACATTAACACATCTAATGTAGTATCTGGCGTAAAACATGCTTTCAGTAAATGCTGTTTATATTGCTGCTTATTTCTTTACCTTGAATTGTCTAGTTTCTCTGCTGCAACATCACTGGCCCCCAAATCCTATTAATATTTTAAATATTTGGGCACTTACCCCACTTGGTGTTACCAGACTGCTGTGTTGTATCTTGTCATGGGAGGAGATGAGGTTTTTGAGTGTCAGGGAGCAAGACATTATTACTCAATGTCAGCATTTATTCTTAGCCAGAAACATGGCCCATGAAATCAAATAGATCTGGACACAAATCCTCCCTCAGTATGCAACCATAGTCTCTCTCTCTCTCTCAGTTTTTTTTATCTGTAAACTGGATAATAGCTGACTGTTAAGGTTGAATGAAAAAAGTATATAAAGTGCTTAATACTGTCCTCAGTAAAGTGGTAGCTTTTCTTTTTTAATTTGGCCTAACCTGTGTGAGCCTTTTCAAAAACAGTACTTATTCTGTTTTTTTAAAAGTTATAAAATTATCTGTAAAATCAGTTTATC